CGCACACACATCCGTGCTTACGATTTTAACCCAGTATCCCAAACCCGAAAATTTCCGCGATCAACCGATGAACTCAAACAAATCAAGGTCTCGTAATAGAAAGCGGCGCGCGGAATCTCCTCCATCATCACAAACTGGTGATACCAAAGGCACCACGAAAGCCACAAGCACCACAGCCTATAGTCGGAACTTCCAGCAGAACCTTATCGATCATGGAGTCTATCCACCGGAATATAGGTATCCGGACCGTCGCAAACCATCAAAACCGAGTAATTGGACGGAGATCAACGAAAGACTAGCACAACCAAGAGCTTCACTTTCGCCCTCAAAGTTTTCTGAAGATCGCTTTGAAGACTTCCGAGAAGCAGACGCATATGCATCTAAGGAGAAACCAGTTACAAAATCGGTTGTACCCATTCTTGATGGCGATGTTGGAGACCCTAAATGTGTTGGAGGGGATTACCTCTTTGGAAACCTTGCTCCTTTAACTGATGGCACGCTGGCTCAGGCCAAACCAGATCACTTCTACGGCGCGCGTCCTGAACAACTTGATCGTCAAATCCGCAACGAACTTAGTGACCATATCGTTCCATCAACACAGGATGACCTTCCAATGGTACCAAACTTCTTTTTGGAAGCAAAAGGCCCCGATGGATCCTTGGCTGTGGCTACACGACAGGCTTGTTATGATGGCGCACTAGGAGCTCGGGGTATGCACGCTCTCCAGTCATACGGATCAAGATCAACTTACGACAACAGTGCTTACACTCTTACGTCGATTTATCATGGCGGTACACTGAAGCTGTACACAACTCATCTCACTGAGCCTGAAGGCCCAAGCCATCGCCCTGAATATATTATGACCCAACTCAATACTTGGGGCATGACTGGGAACTTGGAAACGTTTCGGCAAGGAGCATGCGCATATCGAAATGCTCGGGACTGGGCAAAGGAAAAGAGGGACGAATTTATTAGGACAGCAAATGAAACGCACTCAAAGGCTCAATCTCAGCTTCTTCATTCGACATCTCAGAGCCAGACGGCTTCCGAGACAGCTCCTACCGTGGACGACTCTGATGTATCGACATTGTCTGAGTATTCGAATGCGCAATGGAGCTTCGCAGCTACAACTGAAGAAGGGGAAGAAGAGATTTTAAGCAGAAATTCCAAGAAGCCGAGAGTTAGTTCCATTGGTCAAGGGGAGGGCTCGTAGTTATCTGATTGTTCTTTGCAACGGTGTCTAGCATATCGGAACTGCCGCCAGTGGCTGCTGCAAGAACGTGATAAGCGTGACCTGAGCCATAAGGTGAGAAGAGATTTAGGCCTGTAGCTTTTTAATAACTGCACACATCTAAGGGGAATTTTTCTAGGACAATTAGAGCACATTTCGGCTATATATATGTGTGTTGAAACCAAGAAAAACAAATCATGTCTCCGTAATAAGGCGATGTTGTTGAAGCAGCACAAACCGAATTCAATTGTATCAGTTCAGGGATTCGAATGCGTTATGAAAGTGGTGAGCACCTACCTTGATAGATGATGCATTGAAGATACTGAAAGCAGATGCTTCCAGAAACAATAAAGAGCTTGCTATGCTCCTTAAATTGTCTGCTCCGGGCCTAGATCATCCTGGCAAAGGGCATGTTATCGAACTGCTGGATTATTTTGAGCACGATGGTCCAAATGGGACACACTTGTGTCTTGTCCTCCCTGCAATGATATCCGACGGCGAAATAACGAGCGTTGTTTATATCGGACCCAAAGCTGGTACAAGACTCATGTCATTACCTAGCTCTATGGAGTCGACAACGTGATCAGCGGCCGGTAACACCGACAGCCTTGCGTGCACCTGAGCTAATCCACCGAAATACTTGGGATGCCAGCATAGATATCTGGGCCTTGGGTTGTTTGGTATGCCCCCCTGTATCTAAACTCAGTTCTCTCCAATCTAATCCTTGTGTAAAGATATTTGAATTGGCGACAAACGAGCCATTTATTTCCCTTAGGGTCTTTTGGCCTCACAGCTGAACAGATCGACAAAGAGCACACATACCGTATTAGCCAGCTCCTTGATGAGAACGGTCAGATGCATGAGAACTTTAGAAAACATCTGACGGACAGGTTGCCATATGACTTCGGTACTGAGAACGTCCAGCATCTTGTATCGTTCTTTCGTTGATGCTACAGGAAAACCCTCAAAGGCGAATGCCAATCACCAAGCTACTAGCTACTCAATCACCCCTTCCTAGTCGGGGCACCCGATGGATGAGAACTTGTCAACATCGAACATGAGGTCTACGGTGCTCTTATTCCCACTTTAGGAACTACTATGGTAGCAAGGCAACAAGGCGAACAAGCAGAACAAGTAATCAGGGACTGGCATGGGAAGATAGAGCAGGTGTGCGCAGTGTCTTTATGCTTGGAGCGATGCAGAGCTGACAGCCTCAGCCACGGACATGGAAGGAGAATTAGATAGGGGTTGCTGTCCCTTACGTCTAAAATTTCGCAGCTGCCATGACAATAGCGATGTACCGCTATAGGTAGCAATTCCAACCCTGTCATCAACAGCCGAACAGCTTTAGCGACCTGCCTCCCCTGGTACGGAGCGGTCAATTGAAAATAGACGAATGCTTCCATGAAGCAATCGAGGATTGGTTTCATTACGTCTTGGATATTGAACATCAGCTCCAAGACCACGGGGCAAGTCAGATGAATGTAGGCAGTGTGGTACCATCCGGGGAAAGCCCCGAAAAAGGGACTATTTCCTCGAGCAACCTAGTGCCTGTTCGCTGGGCAAAGTACTTGCGTCAGAAGCTGGCGTGACACATATAGATAAACTGGGCGCCTGGAGAAACGCGCAAGGGCGCGAAATATGCGCAAACGACGGTGGGTTAAAGGGAATAATGAGGAAGGTGGAGTTTAAAGAGGCACTGTTCAACGAGGCGTAACTTCCACGAATGTTGAATATGTATCTACCACCAGCTCGGTCAAGCATTTTCTAGATCTAGCATTTATGAGGAGTCTTTCCTCACTTGCTATGTAAATATTCTATTCCTCATTGTAAAAGTGTGAAGACCACTGCGTATAGTTTTGACACCGCCATCAATTACAAGAAGGGCCACAATGCGCCATGAGAAGTGGCCAATCCAAGGAACAAGAATCAAACTTCCTTTCTTTGCCTAACGTTTGACGAGTACATTCATTGATGAAAATATATCTCAGCTATCTTGAGATGGTCAAATACATCGACAAGGTAAGAACGACAAGAAGGTAACATTCTAGAGAACACTAGTAGAACATGCTTGGCCGATCATTTGTAAAGAAGGGCAGCAATGGAGTATCATTAAACATTTATCCAATGTAAAGATGAGATGAGAAAAGGTTGAATCAATACAAGAACAGGCTGTAGCTAAAATGTAAACCACACCTGCTTGGAGTGATTTCTCAAAGGTTGTCTCTCACACTGCTTACGGGATCCGTGATTCTGTAGCTTCCCCAGTTTAGAAGGATCATAGCCTCTCCATTTCACCAAGTACCACCACATCCCTTGTCATCATCCCCCGCCAAGATCTCATCAATCAACCACTCCTCTGTTGTCACTCCACCATCTTCAATCAACATTGGCGGCGGTGGGGTCCGACCCTCGGAGCCGGACTTGTCATCACTCCTGACACTGGGTGCCAAGCTGCATGTACTTGGTGCGGTTTGGGAAATTGAGATCCTATCATCATCGCTCAGATCCCGAACACCATCATCAATGGTGATGAATATGTCTAACATTTGTAAGAACCCACGTAAGAATGGAGGAGTGAATGATAAAAATTAAAGAAATTGAAGAAGTAAGAAACATATCTTTACTGTTTTCAACATTTAAAATTTAAATTTTAAATTTTACATCATTTTTTATACAATTCTGCTTCAGTATATTTTTATTTGAGTTGATATTCATTACATTGTTGTTGTAGATATTCTCATCATCTTCATAATTGTGGAATTATTTATTTGTAGTTATGAATATCGGCGAATCTGATAGACCAGAATCACTGTTATAGAGACTATGCAATGAGTTTCAATGATTATCATATATATTAATATGCAAATTTAGATACTAATTCTAACCTTTTATCTTTATATTTGAGCTGGTTATTTGACTTTCAAATATTTTAGAAGACTTTTAGTTGATTGACTTTTCATTTTTATTAATTCAGTTTTTGATTACAAATTGTTGAGTATGGAAAATCAGTGTTCACTGAAATTTTATGCCTGATGCTGTGGCTTTTGAATTGAAATGAAGGAATGATATGAGGTGGTGATTTAGTCAATTATACAGAATAATGAAATGATGTAAACAGTGGTTCTGAAAAAATTATAGAAGATTCAAATTGTTTTGAAAGAGAAGAAAAATTCAGCTTTTCAAATCTTCAGAATGGGAAAAAACACATTGAAATAACTTTTCAATTTTTAAAATTGAAGTTTCAGCAAAATCTCACACCTGATTTATTCTAAATACAGAATGCCGACAATGTAGAAATTTTGATATAAATGAATAAAATTAAAAATCATTTGTTTATTAAATTTTATATTCAAATATGACATTCAGAGAGCTCTGATGCATTGTTAATGAAGTAAAATCAATAGCTTTACTTTAACTCTTGACTAACACAGTTTAGCTAAAACTGTCAGTTGATACAATATAAATATTTTATTTACAGCATCAATAATTAAGTTGATGATGAGTTGAAAAACAAACACAGTATGAGCATTTGTAGAGAATGGAAGATGAATCAAGAATAATAATTTCAATTCAAAAAACAGCTATGCAGTAATGTAAATATCATTATAAAATGAGTGAAAATTTATACTGAATCAGATTATCACTCACAATCTTTCCACTTCTTCATCATCTTAAACAGATTCAATATTTCACATTTCAAAAGCTGATCAAATTTCAGTTATTATAATTATTATTCTTCCATTATAGATATATGCAGTCAGTGACTATGACATCTACCTGAAATACTCCAGGATTTTTCAACTTAAGAATAAGCTAATATATAAAGTCAATTTAATACATGCAATAGCAGAATTCCAGCCCAGAATCAAATAACTATTCAAACTATTCAATTTAGGAAAGAATGTCAAAAGAATGACAACAGATTAATACATTCAATTTAAAACAAATGAAATAAAGAGTATAAAAAACAGCAGCTATTAAAAGAAAAGAAAGCATTCATAAATCAAATGTAAGCAGCGATGTTGGAAATGGCTGCTTATATTTCGGTTGGTCCTTAGGACTCTACGAGGATCAAGCAGTAGGAGATAATACGGTGATATATCGGAGAGGATTCGGATCAAGTAGTTAGATATTGAGGGTGTAGAACGTAGGGGTCAGATTATAACAGAATGATCCGCTGGTCCCTAAAAGGTTGGACCAGCTGCTAGCTATATACACACAGTATCGTAAGCAGATCGAACTTGCTATGATGTAGATGGCGTAGTATGATGCAAGTGGCAAGATAATGCCTTGATTTCAAACTTGATATGACGTTGGTGGTGCTATGTTCGGCGATGTCATATCCTGATATGACGTTGGTGGTGTTATGTTCGGCGATGTCATATCTTTAGGGCTATCGCTAATTCCGGCCTAGCACTGGCACCTTAGTGCGGGTTTCTTACATCAAACTTTTCAAAACAAGTCAAAATCAAAAGTAATCAAAATAAAATAAATTTCAAATCAAAAGTAACAAAATAAAAATAAAAACAAGAACAAAAATTAAAGCAAATATAAGGAAACAAAAGAAAAATAAGAAAAACAAAAATTGAATTTATTATCAAATCAAGTTATTCAATTGAAATCTTGTAGCAATATTTGATTCTTTCAAACATTCAATCAAGAATTCATTTCCAGTTTTTGTATTGAATAAAAGTTTTAAATTTAACTGTCTCAATTCAAACTTCCCTCTCAATCTTAATTTTAACTCTATATGCTTTGTACAAAGTAAAAGAAGATGCTCTGAGTTTTCATATAACTGACAATCTGAACATAAATCACTTAAATCATTTTTAATCTTTGTTAAATATGATTAAAAATAACCATGTCCAAGCTTTAGCTGCATTATTGTAGCAAAAAGTTTCTTTTTACATTTTATTGAGCAAGCTTTCCATTTTGACTTAGTTTTAAACCTGGAATAATGTACACTCTTTTTTTGTAAAAACCAGATATCTTGCCATTTTTGCAAATATGATTCTCTTATTTTTCTCTTAATATAAGCCCATGTTACAATTCTTTGAAAGCAGACTTCCAATTCAGTTGCTTTTTTTGCAGCTTTATTAGCCATTTCATTGCCATATATACCCATGTGAGCAGGCACCCAGTGAAGATGAATAGAACAATTGAATGAGATTTTTCTTTGAATATTTTGAAGACTTTTCAAAATCAGCTCTAGCATTGACTATCCACTGCTGATTTTATTACTTTGAAGTCTTTTAAGCCCAGTTTGACTATCAGATGTATGTATGTATGTATGTATAGGTTTAACGTCCCGGAGAAAACACGGGCAGCGCCCGTGTTTCAGAAGCCTCCCGAAGGGCATGGAGACGTGCTACGCTGGAGAGATTTCTATGTACACAGAGAGAGAAAACAGAATCCAGGCGGCAACTCTTGAGAAGACTCAGCTCATTGCAAAGGATTTTTCTGAGCTGCGCATCCACTTCTGGCCCGACGTATGGCCATTCATGGTGGGGTTATAGTGTGGTTCCTTGAGGGGACCGCCGCTGCCGTGCCTGGAAGGCTTTATAGTGAGCAGAGAGGGATACCTCTCTCAGTTGATCAGAAAGCTGTCTGTGCTTCTAACATCAGAAGAAAGACAGACAAGATAAATAATGAAAGAAAGAGAGGGAAAGTGTGTGTTCTGAAATGAAAAGAATAAAAGAGAGAGGTGAAGGAAAGACTGTGTCATCTGCAACACCTTGCAGTCACGTGACCTGGCACAGACCCGGGGGAAAAGAGAGGGGAGAGCACTGAAGAAGGTTGTGGAAGGAAAAGAGCAGAGAATGAAGAGAGAGCAAAGAAAAGAAGGAAGAAGAAGCATTTGAGCCGATAGAGACAAGGGCAAACGAGAGGAAAACAAAGCAGAGTACGCGTAGATACAATGCCGGCAGTCAAAACCATATCAGCTGAGTCAGACACGTAGACTGTACTGATTACACCACAGCTAATTGAGACAGATGAGCCTAGTTGTGCTATCTGTACTGTCTGCATAGACTGTGATGTCCCTGGCAGTTGCACTAGCTACCGTGGGTGTACTCAGCAGGCCGGCCTCGTGGAACTGCTGCGGGGGTTGTCAGATGGTGTGCAGCCAGCCGGCTGCGTTACCTTGTGCAGTACTGTGTGTAGAACTGCGTGCAGTCCAGCAGTTCTACAAAGTCTGTAGGGGTCAGAGACCCTAGATAGGCAACAGCTGTCGCGCGGTTGTGTGGCCGTGCTGCTGGCCTCTTGGGCCAGTGAAGAAAGTGCCTCTGTGAGTGTCGACAGAGCACCAAATGTTCTGGGCTCTTGTTGTGTCCACAGACACAGGTGAGCCTCGCATCTGCATGCTGGAAACGCCTGTGGTACCAGGAGAAGTCCCCATGAGAGGAGCGGAGTGCGAGCCAGCGGTGAAGGGCATGCCGTGGCATGGTGAGCTCCGGAGGGGCCTTCACTTGGTATTCCACAGTCGGCCTGCTGAAACTCCAGCCCCTGACACTGTAGTACTGATATCTTAGTATAGATTTCTTATAACTATTCTCTTTCTGAAAGAGCTGCGGTCTCAGTGAGCTCAGAAATTATAGAGTATTCTTTGTGCTGGTTAACAGAGTACTCAGATTATTGAACCTCTCATCATTGATCTGTATTGATGATCTACTGATCAACCTACTAACCACCACGCCACTATTGACTGGGTTCACCTCAACATCATCATCTTCACTGTAATGTCAACTGCCAACTCCCATACAAAATGAATACACCTGTTAAAATTTCAATATCTCAACAATCATGTCAAAAGTGGCTTTTAAACTATATATCTACTGTAGTGGGGCATTCAATGCAGCACTAGAAATAATGGTTGTTCTGCCAAACGGACTTAAACAGGTCAGATACACCGGAATGTATGTACAGAAAGTTGAGCAAAAGAGAGAATGGCGAAGAAGAGATGAGCTTGATCCTTGATTTTTTTGATTCTTTTTTGATTGATTTGTTTTAGCACAGTGCTGATAGCCGCTGGTCACTTGCTTGATCTATTGCTGGTGCACCACACTACCTTACTTAGCAAGCACTGCTCATCCCAGCTAAGCAATATAGCTTACATATTTTCAGATCCAGTTAAGCATCCCAAAGTATAAGCATGGACTACTAGCGATCAATGACTCATCTTATTGTGGAATTAGGAAATATAGACCAATAAGACTAAAGCGTTTTTCTTTTCTCTGTGGAGTATTATCCTTTCCTCTCAATGCATTCCTCAAGTAACACAGGGTGGCCGATTCTAGTGATACTGACATCCCATATTTCTTTCAAACCCGCTTTTACCTACTCATATTGGTGCTGACGTGCTGGTGTGTTGCAGAATGCCAAGAATAGAGAAAAACAATAAATACTGAAAGCTTCATCCCTTCACCGGTAAAAATAACAGAACGTTCCAAGTACAAAATTCTTCGGTTTGCCCTATGGATTAGCTCAATCCAAGACAATGATAATTTTTCGGGCTCCCATAATAATTTTCCGTTGAAGAAAAGAAGACCTGATCGCTCGACGCTACAGAGTGAGAATCAGTCAATAAATCCTTGAACTTGTGAGAATATATCAGGTTAACAAACCGAAACAAACAAATGAAATTGTCTTGAAAACTTAATTGCCGTAGGCAGAGTTTCATTGCGTGAACTCGATCTGAAGGTCATTCCGATTGAATTGGAGCAGAAGCCCGGGACCGCTGAGTTTTATTAGAACGGAGTTTCTTTAATTCAAAAGTCCCGGGTTAGTTTACCCGAAACCATAGGACAGTATCCCCTCTCGACGTGTCCTCCAGCTTCCAGATGCCCTTATATCCGATCAACTCTTCACTATCGGAGGCTTGCAGTATTTTTCTGGCAGAAGAATCGACAATAATTTTGTCCATGGAAAAGCTCGCACGATGCTGTCTTTCGAAATCGGCGAAAGTAAATCTTGTCGTTTCGCTATTGTCGATGATCGAAGATACCCAAATACAAAATGAGGTGCATAAGCCCGTTTCCCTGTTCCAGAGCGGTGCCAGTTCTTCTTCGGTAACGATTTCGATGATGCTCTGGACCGAACCTTGATCGATTACGCGGTTTCCGATGATAAAATCCGCAAGAGGTATTTCCAGTTTTCGAAGTAGAAAGCGTATCATTAAGCAGAATTTATGGAAAGTGCAACACCCGATGTCGTTCACTGTTTCTTCGTTTTCGTTTGCTCCTCATATTCGATGTCTTCTCCGTTATCGTGTGGGATGGATTCATTTATTCAGTTAGTGATAACTCAAAAACGTAAGAAAAACCATCTAAAAGCGCACCATAATGCCCTGCCTTGCGCAAATTCGCGACCAACTGATCGCCACTGAGGTTTTCGACTTCGCTCATCATTTCCTTGACCCATATAGAGCGTGCTTCACGCTCCTTTTCTTCGTCGCGTGTATGCGGAGGATCAGCTGTGACTGACGTGTTTCTTTGCTGAGATGCTATTTTTTAATATAATTGTCGAGGGATCAAAATATAAGTACAGTACTGGTCAGTCGAGTTACCTGGTAGGGCACGGATCGATCAGGATTGTTGAGTGATGATAGTTGCCTTTGAAGCTGTGGGATGAAACAACGACGTGAGCGAGGACAAGGAGATCAGAATTTGGTGAGTCAAACCAGAGATAAAATGATGAATGCGGGGAAAACGCTTGTATAAACTGACAAGCTTTGATTTAAAGCGACAGAGTAAAGAGTAAGTATGTGGGAATTATCTGAAAGCTATTTAAAAGTTAGGACACATCATCAGCAAGAGTACTGATGAGCAGGAGCGACGAAATGTGTGGGATCAGCTTGGTTAACTGTCTACATCCGAATACAACCACTAATGGCCTGGATTACTTATTTTTTATTATTTTTATTTTTATTTTTGTTTTATTTTGATCCTTCCAACATCTAACGTCTTCGCTCCTACTACGCGCCTAAATATTTTCGCCCACGAGCAAGGAATTTTGAGAACCTCGGTTTATTTCACTGAACAGCTGTGCATCATCCTAGACCTCTTCTCTAGTAGAAAATAGTATACTAAAATCTTCGCATTGCAA